AGCAGCAAATGTCACGGTGAGTCTCTGGAAACTGGCCACGTGTCTGTTGTTTCTTAGGGCCTTGGTGCACTTTCAATCGAATAAATCCGCGATGGCCTTAGCTGCATTCAGCAGCTCCGAACCTGGGACCATCAGTCTACTGTCCAACATACTCCATTCAGGGATCTCCAATGAGGTTGATGATGTACTTTGGGTTGTCCACGGACGTTCTGAAGAGGTTGGAGTAGTGATGATGAGGGTTTCTTAATTCTTTTTTATCTTAGCTCCTTATGACACCCATTCACATCCAAACATTCATGTACTTTGAGGTTCTTCGGAGATTCACAGATCGTTTTCCGACAACGAGATGTTAGCAAAGAACTGCGCCTGTAATTTTCTGATACCGAATTTGTAGTTCTCCGGCTAAAGCAGAATCTAGTTCCAAAATCAATGTCTTTGCGTTTTTTCCAAGGAAAATCGTATCGTCATACGCGAGTTCTGACTTCTCAGTGAGTCTGTGTTCGTCTAGAGAGTGAGTTCACTTATAAAGTAGGAAAATGATCAATGTCGCTGCTCTGCTGCAGCTGTTGATTAAGTTTCTGTGCATCCACCACATACGTCTATACTTATATGAATCTCTTGGAATACCTGAAAAAGTGTAGAATTCTCGATTATTTAGACATACAGATATTATTATAGACTTTTTCGATTATTTTGTGACACAATGGTTTCAGTTTGATATGGATGGAGGTTAGGACGTATAATTGCCCCTTGAATACTCAACGCAGTGAAGAAGTTGGTCATACTAGAGAACTGTATCTGGTAGTGTGCCAACCAAAGTGAGAGCAGACTTTGTAATTAACTCGTTCGTATATTTGCAGTCTAAAGAAGGAAACAAAAAGTTCGAAAGGAGGAGGATTGTCGCGATCTCTGGACAAGTTCCTAAGAGGACCCAAGACAGGTGCATAGCTTTGACAGGTGCAGAGTCATCGGGAAGCATGCTTTCGAAAGCACGTAGCTTTCCACCTGCGACTTGATCCGACTTTCTGGAATGAGCTCGAACATTTGGCGTGCTTGACTGGCATCCCGAAAGAACGCCTTAACAATTAATGAGATGAAGGACGCGGCGAAAAGCGCTCTGATTCTATCGTTGAGACGATCGTTCTCAGAGTCCGGGGACAAGATCAACACTAATCTGCGATGCAATCTAAAAGAAAGTTTCATGACCATGTTGCCGTTGCTCAGGGGATCGTGTTGATTTCCAAAAGGGGCTACATTATTATTGTGGGTCAGCGTTTGCGCCAATCAAGACCTCACCCTGTTGGACATGCACCGATGTCGACTCCAGTAAAGGCAGCAGCTCCGAGTGCTGAAGAAACATGTGTTTTTGCTATCATCCGATCTGACTTCGAGTGCATATTTATCCATGAGGTGTGGAGTATTGACAGAGGCCGCAAGCACCGGCAGGGAAGAACCCAACGAGGACTAAAGCACTCGCATTTAGTGCTCTAACAGGTGTCGGAAGGGAAGTGTTGTCAACTCTCATGCCAGGCGGTTCAGGTGCTATATGGTGAAGGATGAGACATGAGTTCAAGGCCTCGAAGCTCAGAAAAGGCTTGGGATCCATAGCCTTTGGCTTCATCTCACAGCACAGAATCCAATCCGAGGTAAAGCCATGAGCAGTGCAGACGCCACATCTACGTGAAGCTATTGTGCATTAATAATATGCAGATTGGATTCAATGGTTGGAGGGCCTCATTTGGGTACACGAGGCGGAAGGAGAACTGGAGAAATTACTCGAAGGCGTGGCGTCGTCAAAGGTGAAATCGTAAACTCTCGTTCACAACTCACTCCCAGAATACTGAGCAGACCGTATGAACGTACGGCTTCTGTCTAATTTCGCACGTACTTTTCATCTGGAAACACATATGCACCGTATAGGACGCTAACCTGGTAGGTCTGCCATCGAACCACGTGCGCTGGAGGGACGAATGGGACGACGAAGTTGCGATGAAAGCCAAGCGGCGATGGCTCGAGGATCCTTTAGGACCACAGCACGTGCTTTTGTCCGGACCATGACGGACTTCGTTGAGCACCATACGAACTCGAACCATACGATTCCCGGTTACCGACAGTAAAGTTTGCAGGTCTGAGATGTACAGGAAAAGCTTCTGAACGTCGGTACAGTACAGAATTCGTTGGTCTAGGAGACCTCAATATTCGATTGCAAAGCCATCACATAACACATATAGATGATGAGATTCTTGTTACGGCCCCAACTGCACCACATCGAAAGGTCGTGTGAATAATCACACCATGGCCTACACTAATGGTCTGCGAGCTTCACAGCTATTGCTCTCCCTATTTATATCACAAACTGATGAAATAAATAAATAGATATATAGTGAATAACTAAATAAAATTAATGTTCGGTATTTAGAAATATTATTTGGAAATTGAAAAGATTTTTTTTTCAAATATTTGGGTATTTTCAAGGATTTGGCCTTCACTGATCTATAATACAATCAGTCATATTTATATTTTCTTTTCTTCGAAGGCACTTTTGAGCTAAGACTACTCTAATCTGCATTTTTTTCTCTTGTTTGGAGATTCTCCATAGAAGTTAGACTAAGGCTATTTCTTACCATTTACGGGATACTCATGAAGGTGAGCTAGAGTTAGATCGTTAGATGTACTTTACCGAAAGGTACGGTTGTCGGAGGATAGCCGATGTAAGAGAGAAGAAGCTTAGGGCAATTTTTAGTTTTGCAGCTAAGCACCCTCTCAAAAGGCCACATGTCTCACTTGGCGACAAAGATGGTCAACTCCATATTTGGCCGAGTAACTCCGGTGGCGCTTTTCAGCCACGTGGCCTGTAAGGGGCGACCAGACTGACGTCGAAGGTGCGAATTTAACTGGAGGTTTGGCTAGAAAGCCCACCTTGCATTGTGGGGATAAAGATGGAGGAGGTCCAAAGTCTCAGGCCCGCCAATTCGCCGAGCGACACTGAGTCCGTCGCTCGAGCTGCTGGACACCGATTCGTGGACGTCACCTAGCTTCCGATGAAAGGGACCCGACCTCCAGCTCAGCGGGCGCCGAATCGACACGTGCCGGTGTGCATAACGGGCCCCCGTTGACTTCGTCCGGGTACAACACCTGGTTCGGAAGATGCTGCCGGCGGTGTACGGACGGGGACATGAGACCCGCCGGCGCCCCGGCTGACAGGAAAAGGCTCGTCCTCGTAAAGTACAGTACTCCCCTTCCCCTCCCCCCACGGGCGTCCTCTGGCTGTGGTACGGAAACCCGCGAGTACTGCCGAGGGTCCTTGTCAGCGTCGGTCCGAAATCCCGGACGGGCGAAAAGTGCACCCACAGGCGCACAACTTTCAAGCGTTATTGCCCAATCCCTCGTCCATGGTTTATCGGACGCACTATGGCTGCGCAGACAACAAGGTCACCACATTCGCAGCCGCCTTGCAAAAGCTTCAGAAATTTCTTCTTCAATATATATTCATAATCATATTTATGATAATTTCAAAACGTTTTTTTCACCAGGATCGCCGCAATAGTTTTGGCTATAAAACCATCGTGGCCTCACGAGATTCCTCCTCACAACCGACTGAAGTCCTTACAAAAGCACGAGGATATACTAAGAGGAAAGGTAAAGTCGCAGTATGAGAATATGAGAATGTATTCGATTAGGGACACCGAAAAGCCTTGAAAACCATGGGAGGGAATGATTTATGGCATTTAATGCTATAAATCCGAGAGCGTTATTGGATTGGAAGGAAACCCATAGCCAAGGGTTAGGAGCTTTGAGACCGTCCTGGACACCGTTATGGACTAACAAACTGAGTTCGGACTGGTGACTGGTTTGTAGATATCCAGCAACGTGAGGAGAACAATTGAAGAGCTCTAATAGGTCTGAAAACCAGGCTCTCTTTGCCACATGCAAATGACCCAAAAAAGTGGTAACGAAAAGTGAGATGCAGAATCTACAAGAGTTAGTTCTGGAAACAACTTTTGTGAAGCACACTCTATACATGAAAGATCTTGCGATCCGCAGACTGTAATCCGCAAGATCCAGTCCTAGAACGAGAAAAGCAGAGTCATGTCGGGTGGGCCTGAGAGCATATTAGATATTTCGGGCCTGTTTAAGACAACGGTATGATTGACAGTTGGAAAAATGTATTCTAGATTCATTATCTTAAGTCGACCCCTGAATTGAAATGACGACGCTTCCTAGTGGTTTGCTATCTTCTGTGAACCTTGAAGTACTTACCCATTGTGAGACTCTTGTTCCCTGTAGCAGAAACGATTTTGTCATGGCTTCTCGAGTCTTGAAGCCATTCGTTTTTAGAGGTTAGCCAGCAAGTAGATAAACCTGTCACCAGCTCGAGCGATGCAACAGAAAGCTAAACTACGTCAGAAGGGAAAATATCCTAAACTCTCTTCTTTAATGTTCACTCTTTTTATCTCACCGGGCATATTGTAACATGGTGAAGTACACAGTGCGTGTTTAATTTGACCCGCCCCAAGTCTTGTAGAAAGTAGCCAACAACCTGAGACTCCGGTAATGGTTTTTGAAGTTCAGGTTTGATGGCTTGTAATTTTTTTTGGGTGACCTTCAGATTTCTGGCGACAAGTTCACCCGTCTTCTGCAAGGTTGGGAGCTGAATGGGTTATAAATAAATATAAGCAATCATCATCCGGAGCTCCTACTTATATGCCGGTAAACATACGACGAAGATTCACGACACCTACTAGTAAGTAAATATACTCAGTCCAGGCTTGTGCATGGGAGCAGCATTTACGTGTCGATTAGAGGATCGTAGACTGGTCGTCTAACGAACTTGTCCCATGCATGCGCTGTCTTGAAGACGTCATGATTTTGCAGGAAACTCTCGCTCTTGTACTGAGCACGAGCCCAAACCTGGTTCGATGTTATCGTCGTTCTTCCCGGATTTTCGTCAACGGCAACGTCAATTTCATTTCTACCATTCTCCGCTGTGGACTCCTGATTTTCTTACACGTATGCCAAAGATGCCGATGAGATCTGTGGAGCTCACACCGACTTTGTGGTTCCCGATGCTCTCGTCCCCCGCTGCATATAAAATGAGCTTCAGGCTGCGGACCTGACTCAAATCTTCTCTCAACATTCTTTTCAGATCTATCTCTCTCTGTCAGAACAGATCCTGCTACACAGTCCTGAGTGTGCATCGTCCTCCTGATTGCGCAATTCCTCAGAATCTGTACATTCTTGTTCGGGATACCCGAAGTGCGTAGACCTTGAGTTAGATCGACATTCTATCCATCGATCGGTCGATTGTGTAGACGGCAGGAAAGAGCAACCATACTTTCCACTTACTTCCTTATGGGCAGCATGGGAGATACCATCAAGGAGCGCGCTGCCGTGGGCGGCGAAGTCGGGCAAGAGATGGGCAAGGGAACAGGGGGAGTGCTGAAGGAAGCTGCTGCCAATGTGGTGACCGGAAGAGATGGACCCAACCGCAACCAGCCTTTCCACAGCGTCACCGACAAGCCCGTCAATGGGCACCATGCCGGCCAAGGCCTCAAGAACTTGGCCATCAGATCGGCCGTCGTTGGCGAAGGCCCCGCGTTCTGCCCCAACCCCAATGACGCCGCCCTGGTACGAATCACTTTCCATTCTCGTTCTGCTCGATTGCAGTTCCGTCTGAGAACATGTATCAGTCCAGTTTTATATCGAACATTTCTTTGTTGTTGATTTCTCTCCACATGCAAGGACATCGCAATATCAGAATGTGGTCGTCCTCCGATTTGGATTCAAGTTGCAGTGAGATTATCGTTACAAACTTCACTGAAGTGCGAGATTCAGCTGTTTGAGCTTGAGATTTGCAAATGCTAGCGGCTGGATAATCAATGCTCACAATACTGAGTTTGTGTGCGCAGCCGAAAGAGTATGAGACGAGGGTGCAGGTCATCCAAAAGTACCCGGAGATGAAAACCGTGGAGGAAGCGTACTTCGTGAAGGAAGTACGAAATGAGACTCGGAGGGTGATGGTTCCGAGAACCAGAGTTCTCATGGAGGAGCACGAGAGGATCGACATGGTTCCCGTCGTCAAGCAGGTCCCCAAGACGAGGATCGAGATCGTCTACCGTGTCGTGGAAGAAGAGAGGGAGATTACGGACATGGTTCCCATTGTCGAGATGGTGCCGGTTCCGAGAATCGAGAAGATCCCTCGAATCATCACCGAAGAATTTGAGGAGACCGTCGAAGTACCGACCGTCATCGAGGTTCCCATGGTTCGCACCATCGAGGTTCCTACTGGAAAGTACGTACGCTCTCCCTTTGCCAGTCATGAAAACCACAAAGTAGAAAATTTGATTATCAAACATAGTTATTCCAAAGCAGAATGCCATCGTTTCTCGTCTAGACAATTTTTCTGCTCATGAATTTGGTTCTCAGTCATCTTGTTTGATGCGTTCTCATGTGTTCCACATCTGTCATTGTGTTCCCCACAGCTACTGCGAGGTGGAAGCTGGAACTTACGTCAACCCGAGTCACTTCAACCTTTTGGGGAAGGGGCATGGAATCCTCAGAAGAACTGGATCGAACTCCAGCTCGTCATCTTCGTCGTCCTCGAGTTCGTCTTCTTCTGACGATGAGAGCCATCGTCGAGGATTCAACGGAACTGGTACAGGAATCAACAGAATGCCAGGAACAGACAGTGCTCCCACAACTCCAGGACGCGCTACTCCCACCCGCAAGAAGAAAAGCCTGCTCCAGAGAATCGAAGCAAAAATCGTCGGCTAGGGTGGTTCTGACGATGGTCATATTCAAACAAATTAAAGTTGCCCATATAATTGTACACTAGACTTTAGATGGGAGCTATGAAACTACAGCGGGTACATTGTGCATGGTTGTAGTAGCTCAGTTATGGCAGATTACAGCTTATAGTCAGTAGAACGATCTGTACAGTTTAGATGGATAGTTTCCATTGCGACTGGTCTATGGCTATGGCTTTTGTAGATTCGGGTTTGGAGTACGGTAAATAGTTAAATGCAGTTCGGTTGTGCTGATGTGAATATGTTTCGAGCTTTTAACGTTACTACGCATATTAGTCTCCTCCTGTACTTGATATTGATACCGGTCTTCAATATATTTCGTTACACTATTCTCTTTACTTATCATCGACTGCTAAGCAATCGGTTTATTATGTCTTTATTTGAGACTAATGATACGTATTTGTCATGAGCCAGTGTAAAATTCCTGACCTTTTCAAAGTGAGCAGTTTGTCAAAGTTTGAATAAACTTGGTATTGTCTTCTGATTGTTCAAGTGATAGTTAGATCATATCTATTCACTTCAATAATTGCTACAAATTAAAATACACATATTTCCGCCATATCACTAGGTATACACCTTTTTGTATATATGTCAATTTCAAGTCTGATTGTTTTTATCGATATATAATGCATAAAGGAGAGAGAAAAAAACAAAATAAAACTATATCTAATTTTTACTATAAAATTTTTTATTACTTTTACATTAAAACTTTGACAAATAAATCATGATAAAGAGCAAAAGTTCAACGATTGTACCTTCATAATGGGAGAAGAAGAATATTAAACAAGCTAAATGATGAAAAGTACGCGTGTCAATATAATGCAGCAGATATCTATTTTTAACATATCTTTCGTAAAATGTAAACTTGAAAAGTGTGTGAGAATCTATTTCAGTTGAAATACACACTTTACATTGCGACACGTTATCAATTAACACTGAAATATACAGTTTGATTCACTGTCAAAAATACTCACACATTATTCGTATATGTGATACCAACATAGATAGCTTAATAATATTGGTTTATACTACTGTAAGTGCAAAAAAAAGTTGATAAGAAAAGAAACCATCATAGCGTGCAAACAAAAATTAATTCGACAATTGTAAACTTCGGTAAGCCCGAAAAGTTTCCCCAAGGTAGCAACATATTTTTGACATAACATATATACAATTCTCCAAATTGAAATGTAGGATAAGCAAGAAAATGAAACAGTTTGTGGAATAGGAAGAAATAAAGATTAAAATATATGTAAAAAATGAGAAAGAAATCACTGAAAGGTAAAAGTAAAGGGCAAACCATATCCATTACAAAGAACGAAGAAAGAACATAAAGAATAGTAGTATACGATTGCAAAGGGTATTGGTTTCTGCTTAAATGCGCATAAAAACTTTTAATAAGATGAAGAGACCAGCATAACATATATAAGAAGAACCAATTCCACTTGCAAAGAACATGGAATGAAGAGAGAGGTCTACTCCCCCACATGCATATCGATGAATTCTTAACATAAAAAACAGACAAATTCTCGAGTTTTTCAAAAGTAATAAGAAGATGAACAAGAGTGTAATAAATGAGCCTAGAAATAGTTGCTATATCAATTGTGAACGCATGTTCTATTCAACTAAATGGAATAAGATATAATGAACGAGTACTGTTAGAAGAGGATGCTCATGTCTTCTGCCATGACAGTATCTAGCAATTTCTCATTCTTTTTTTATCTCTTAAAGCTTCTTTATATGCATATCGTCAACGACCCAACAAGTCTTCTAAACTTTTCTAGCTGAAAAAGTCAACAGGTATAACGGAGTCAATGATGTGTAATTAATAAATGTTATAGTAGGAGATGAAATTAAAACCAAAATATTTGATTAAAATTATTTATTTCAAAATTAATGCAAATTTTAATAACAAAGAGTTCTGAATAAATAAAAAATCATAATATGTATTCATATAATATTTTCTTAAATTGTAGCTCATTATGCTCTAATTGTCACAATGAAGATTCAGAAAATCATGTTTCAAGCCCCACCTTAAAGATAAGTTTATTCAAGCAAATATACTTCTTTCATGATTATGCCATCACTGCATATTTGACTTCTACAGTTGACTAAGCTATGCACTCAAGCAAAATGAATTTGCAACTAATGCATCAATCATTATTTTTTAACACAAATCTAGTTGTAAATTTTCTTTTGCCAAACTTTTATTTCAATTTAGCATTAATGTAAGTAAATTTTTTTTGACATAATCTAATAAACCATCGAATAAAAAATCAGATTTTAAATACTATCTATGTTACAAAAAATCCATTTCACAAAATTCTAATCCACAATCCTTTAATATGACATGTAGTTGATTACCTTGTTCATAGCTTAAAAAAAACCATGATATTCAATGCATACCATCAAATACAAAAGGTTGTTCAATGCCTTATCATAAGTTATTGATGACATCTTTTTACATTCAATAAGTCAATATAACATAGAAGTTTTACACACTTCAAAAGTGTATAAAACTTGAATGCTACCAAAAGAATCCAAATTGTCATTGAAGTTTGCCATCTTAATCATGTCAAGCACTTATTTAATGTACTTGCCTTAATTAAATCAAATCATGCTATTCTTCAAATTACTTTGATTATCAAGTCATATAATCTTCTTGAATTTATCCAATTTTTTTTATCTTCAATGTAGATTTTATTTGATTCTTGCATTGGTCAAAGTTGGTATGATTCTTTGCCAAAATGGACACATCATGGACATATATTATCAAAAGATGAGAGTAAATATATCATTATCAACATTTTTCATCTAAGCACATGGATCATACATACTCTATGAATAATTTTATCATATCATGAGCTCATCAAATCTTGCACTCCACTACTTAGAGCTAATATTAATCCATATGGTGATTTCAGAATTCTACAAATCAATTTGTCTTGACATATATTTTCAAAGCCAACTTATTATCTCATGTAGAATTTTTTATCTAAAAACACAATTTTTTTTTTATGAATGTAAATAAGAATATTTTCTCATGTTATAAGAAGATCAAATATTTTGACTGTGCACATTTAGTCAAATTGTAGCATATTTTGTTAGAGGTGCAAAAAATTTGTTGTAAATCACACCTTTCCCTTGTGTAAAATCGTTAAAAAAATTTTGCTTTCAAAATTGTCTTCACCTCATGTGCTGGATTGTTTTTCATCTTGTTGACCTAAAGAATCAATCAAAGATTGATTCTTTAAAAACTTCACTAGCTTGATTGATAACAAGATCTGCAAGATAGTAAAATGCAATCAAGAAATGTAATTTAAGCTTTGTGAGTATATTTTACTCTAGCTTAGTTTTTCCAAAATCAAAGCATTTTCATTACCATCTTTAGATTAATTATCATAAAATAAAAAAATAGAATAATTCACATATATTTTATAGATAATAATATATCATAACAATATTTTATAGCTTAATAATAGATATGTAAATCTTATTCTTCTCCAAATTCTTGAAGCAGATGTATGGCTGTTTCATGAGAATAATCGATTCAGATTCAGTTACAAGCATCTATGTAAGTCATGATACCACATGTTTTCTCACTTGTGGGATTTTTTAAATGAAATTTTTTCAATGCAAATTGCTATTGCAACTTACACTTGAGTAAATAAATGAATCTCATTGATCAAACGTACACAAATCCATATTTTTTATAAACATGGATAGACATGTGTTTTTGTAACGTAAATTATGTTTTTTTTTTTGTTTGGAAGTTTGAATAGTAGATTAATATAAATATAAGTTTGTCTAAGTATGTTGCATTTGACTGCACTTCAACACTGCAGATAAAACTTTCCTTGCATTGAGATTTCCACTCCACTCGGACAGGTAAATTAGTATAGAAACCTATTTAGAGGCTAGAATTTGAGTTGATAGAAAACGTGTGCAGACGAAGTTGCGGGGTATCGATCCCCACGCTTCTAATTCAGAGTTCCAACATTACTTTTGGTTACTTTGTAAACATCATTTCCAGTTTATTTCTCATCGTAAATTACGATTTCACTAACGGTTTTTTACAAAAGATAAAGTATTCATTTTGTTCTATATTTGAATCTTATTAATAAACTAGTTTTTTAATAATATGGTAGACTTAAAAATGAGTTATTAGAGAAGCGAAAATGGTATTACGAAGTAATTTACATCAAAAAATAAAATTTGCAGGTTCTTGAGAACCGGAAAACTCAGTTACCTTAGTTTATATTCAAAATATCACGATTTTTTCCTTTTTTATCAAAGAAGTGTTTAAATAGCGTTCATATTAAGTAGCTCCTATTGTTCTTATCTGTACGTCTATTTCTCTCATTTATCTACGGAAATTACTCAAACAAGATATTTGTGAAAAGCGAGTGCCACATGGAAATCAAAATCATTGGCGAATTTTATCAAAACATACAAGATTAAAACCAACATGAACATTTTGGGAAAGTTTTTAATAATATTGCGAATTAATATATCTCTTAGAAAATTTAGCATGTAGATTCTATTAAGATCATAACCATACAAAAATTGAATCATTTGATGCTGCATCACTTAACCCGATTCAAATTTTATCTCTAATTTTGGAAATTGCTTTCTGTAAAAAAATGAAAATATGTTGTCTACTATAAAATACAGATCAAACTAAAGAAAGTTATATATCATGTTTTATATTCCAGTATCCACGTTTGTGCATTTGCACTAAGAATAGGATTTTGCAATGACAAACAAGAAGATTATAACCAAAGAGTACCGAATATGATGAATACAGATAGAGATGCCATCTATTTAGCTATAATATATCTACCACTTCACACTGCATTGACGAAAATATATGTTTTCATGCCAAAGTTGTTAGGATTAACCATTGGTAGGGGTACTACTGGCTGTCATTAGGTTATGATGTTAGGGTTCGAATATGTATGCTTTTAGTTAGTAATCGAGAATCAGACAGTAAACACATTTGTGACTTCAACTTTTTTATCTCTCCCTGCACGGTCAACCTCGTCCCCTGCTTAGTCGAGCCCCACAAGGCAAATTCCAGAGACTTTATAGAAAGAGGTCGAGTACGTATACAACTAAAACACAAAGACAGCAGTTTGATCAATCTTGCAATTTCCAAATCCACGCTCTGATACAATTTTTTAGTTAGTAATCAAGACTCAGACAGTAAACACATGAAAGCACAAGTGACAGTATACGCAAGACTAAAAATCACAAGTTCACACGGAGGTACGTGGTTCAACGCTGGGTGCTACGTCGTTGGGAAAGTCAAACACTGTATAA